TAAGTACACCTGGGCCCCGCCCCCTCCGTCACGTGGGGCGCTCGGCCCAGCCCATTGGCCGGGGGCTCCGCTCCCCTCCCCCCCGCCGCCCCCCTCTCCACCGGCCGCGGGAAATCAAACCGGCTGGTGGCGCCCCAACGGCCACCTGGCTGCTGCGCGCCCAGCCGGGTCGGGGCCGAGCCTCCCAGGTTGCCCCTGGCGACCCGGGTGGGGGGGGTAGCGGCCAGCAGCGAGGGCCTCTCCACCCTTCCGACGGTCGGTGCCTCGACCCTCCTGCCCCCACCGCCCCGGGTGCCTTTTCCGCCCCGAACCTCCCCGCACAGCGGTTATCACAAGCAGAAGCGGCCCCCCCACCCCCGTTTTTATGTTTTTAGGGTTTTTGAAACCTTGAACTCTCGAGCATCTTACTTTCGACTCCCGAAGCGTGAATTCCGGGACAGTGTGGGCTACCGCGAGAGACAGTGTCTCAAGAAAAGGGAGAAAAGGAGAAAGCAAAGTTTACAGATTTAGAACAAAGCCCAGCTCTCTGCCCAGTTTTAATAAATGTATCCATGCATGTAACTAACACCCTAAAACCCCTTTTTAGGTTGAGTATGGTAGATGACACCCTTAATTCCAGCGCTCTGAAGGCTGAGGCAGGAAGGCTCAGTAGTTTGAGGCCAGCCAGGACTCATGTGTTAAAAACAAGCAAACCAAAAGACAAGTTATTTTTGCTGCAAGAAGTTCCCTTAAGCCTCTTCTGGGTAACGCGGACCTCCTGGCCCCCGGCCTCAGTTCTGACGTCTCCCACGCAGTGCTTTGAGATTTTCTTCCGTTCGGGATCGCAGGACCCCTGGCTCACCTGGGGTTTGCTTAGAATTTACTCTTTGTCTCTGGGGGATGAGTCTCTTCAAGTATCAACTATCTTATCGTGGCATTTCTTAAAAATATGCAGTGTTTTGACCGTTTATTTTTTCTAATCCTCTGAACCCACACTAGGCAGTAAAATGCCACAGCAATAAGTAATTTTGTAGTGATCCCTGACATCTGTAACATCGCACCACCGATCAATTTATTCAGTAAGTGTTGTTGATTCCCAATCTGCAGGCGGCTTTAAGTCAGCCTTTCGAGGGCCGCCTCCTCCACTTGAGGGGACACGGACGACACTTTGCAGAGTTCATTTTTATCTGGTAAAGCGCCCCCCGGGGAGGAGCGCGAGTCGCCGCTGCGCACTCCGCAAGTGCGCTCCGGCGGTGCCGGGTCCGCAACGCCGGCGGCCGCGGTGTGGTCTCTCCCTGTCCCGGCGCGCCCTCTGCTGGCCGCTCCCGGAGTCCACCCAGCCACAATTCCAAACCAGAATTCCATCAGCAAACTTGTCCACCCAAGCCCTCTGGTCCTTTCAGAGTTGAGGATTGTGATTTCCAAGCCAATCAGGCATGGTGAACAGAAAAAGAGAAGAGAGAGACAAGAAAACAAATCGCCAGTGAGTCAGTGAGGTCCACAGAAATGACCACTCCTTCCGTACACTGTAAGTACGATGTGCCTGGGTCTAGCCTCGAAGAGGCATCCCTCCTGGCTGGGGAAAGTAATCAGCACAGCTCACTGGTGGAACAGGAGAATCACAAAGGTGTGAGAAGTGTGGAGGGGTTCAGGTGTGGGCTGAGTAATGAGTCCGAGGTGAAGTGAGAGGAATCCCACAGGAAGAGGTGAGCCTTTTTTGTAGTAAGATTCAAAAACTGAGCCTGGCCGTGGTGGCGCACGCCTTTAATTCCAGCACTCAGGAGGCAGAGGTAAGCAGATCTCTGTGAGTCTGAGGCTAGCCTGGTCTACAGAGTGATTTCCAGGACAGCCAAGGCTGCACAGAGAAACCCTGTCAGAGAGAGAGAGAGAGAGAGAGAGAGAGAGAGAGAGAGAGA